GAAAGCGCTATATAAATGCAGTCCATTTACCATTTACCATAGTTGAGGGTCATTTAAATGAACAAGTATGCATATTTATAGGCTAATTATTTTGCCTCAAATGTTGTCTGGCTAATGGCATAATCTGAGACTCAAAATCCTACTGTAAAAGCACAGTAGCCATAATGTTAGACATGTTCCCCTATTTTTAGAAATGTTTAAGCTCATCCCATTCACACACACTTCTCAAATCATTCGTCCATTCTTATGAGAACAATTAAGTTCTAATCTAGGGTTGTGGTCAACAGCGACGTCTAGAAAGTCCAAGTGAGTGTTTAACACGATGACGTCAAGCAGTGACAGCAGTGTCCTGCACTGGGACATGGTAAACTTCATATAAAACATTATATAGGCCTATGCCACTATTATGATATCTACATAAGTTTTAATGACTACACGGAAAGTTTGTGCTTTTAAAAATCCATTTGTCACACCACAGGACTATTTAAGTGCAAAAATCTTAAAGTCGTTTAAACTGGTGAACAACTTGTGGCCAGTCACAGCACCTGCTTTCCTTTATACGGATAAATTAGCTAGTACTTAAATATAAAAAGTTAATGTGTATTACTGCTTAACTACCCAGGTAAAGATTACATTCTATTACATACGTTTAAATGTGAAACAACCCATGAAATGTAAACAAGTGCATAAACCCAGGGGGTTTTAAGGGGGCATAAACCATGACAAGAAAATCAAACAAATCGTTTACTTTTAAACTCAAACGAAGAATTGTTAGGGGACAACGATAATTTCCTACAGAAATTCACATTATTTAGGTCTATATATAAGTGTGTATCTTAATGATATTATATAAATATATACATACAAGAGAATTAAGACTTTTATACCTTCTAGTGTTTGTGAAGTTACTGTCTGGGGTAGATAGAAACACATCAGCGCGCTGAGCGCGAGCACCTGCTGCCTCATCTCGTCTCGTGAGTGAAGAATCGTCTCGAGCTGACACAAGCGCGCCCTCAGACATACCGCGCGCTGCGGAAAATCCAGACACCAAGTGCTCCCCTCTCAAGGAAGATGGACAGCTTGAGGCTGATATTCCGGTGGGCAAAAAAAAAAAGAAGAAGAAGAAAAAAAAAAGGTTTATGCTAAAATAAAATATCCACGAAATTCATTTAGTTGTTTACTTCGGCTGCTTCCCTGTTGAATAATCTCTGTTCCCTGTCAACCGCGTTGTGTGTATAGCACTAATCAAAAAGTTCCGCTTTGCAGTAGCACCATTCCCAGTGGATTTTCCCACTTAGTCAACGGATAATAAACTATTTACTAGGCTAAACCGAGATTAGGAGAGCGAGAGTTAAAGTTGAAAGTATGACGCAGGCTCACCACCACTCCCTGAGTGTACACTTATGATGTTGAGATGTGGATTGGCCCGATAGAGCGCTGTGCTATTTACCAATCACTGCATGAACTGCGCCTCTCCACCCTTCGGAAACTGGCACAACAGCATGCCGTGACTCACAAACCGATGGGCTATATGATGTTTCTTCATGAAGTAAATAAATAAAATTAGGGGCACCTTTGACTTCCTACAATCTTTTTTTTTTTTTTTTTTTTTAGATTTAGTTGAATCCATGTCCTGAAATAAAATTTCAATATCTTAAAATAGTCATTAATGAGGCGTTTTAATATCTCTGATCAACAACACAACACTTGTCAATATAGTAAATAAATGGATCAAATCGTTCGGTCTCACTTTTTTGTGATACTTCGTTGTGTTGTATTGTAATCTTTAAAGTTTCTCCTTACCTGTTGAAAGTATGATGACGCACTAACGAATTTCTAAAAGCTGATTGGCTTGAATGGTTATCTCTGTCAATGATTGGATATATATGCGGAAGGAGGCAAAATAAATTTCTTTCTAAACTGAGTATCCCCCTCTATTAGCTATTCGTGACTACGGAGTATGAAAGAATAAACTGTAGACTAAAACCTATAGCCTATATTTATGCTATATTTTGAGGATCGAAAGAACAAAAAAATAAATCTTCAAATAGTCACTCTCTGTAACACTCGGCAACAATGTTTCATAAAGAGGAAAAGTTTCACTGAAAAATTTAGAATTCTACAAATTTAGCTTTTTTTTCCCCTTTCAAATTTGTCAAAATTTACATTTCAACACTCATAGAAATGAAGTAATATAGGGAACAGAACGTTCACCTAATCGAAGAATGACTCATTTACAAGGCCATTAAATACCTTCCTTCAGGATATTTAGTTATGCTAATTATGTAGGGTTGGTTGAGTGGTAATAATTCTACAGGTATCTTGTCAGAGTCTCGCAGAGTTTTATGAGCGGGTCGTCATCCGGCGGGGGTCTTGCATGGGTTTCTTGTTCACAGTGAAGAGCATTATTGTACTCGTGCCATGTCAACGGCTTAATCCCCCCATTGATGCATATAGACCGAGCTATCACAATAGACACATTGTCAATGGGTTTGGCGACTTCTGGACCCACAGCAGAACATGCCTGATCTCAACAGACTGTCCACTGTACAGTGGTAAACACTCACATCGGAGAGAAGAGTAAACGCTTAAGATCACGCTTCATTATATGAATTTACAGTTATGGCAGCTACTGGCTGATTCATTTTCTTATCTGACAGCAAAACCTTGCTTTGTGGTACTTATTTGAAACTTTTTAAAAGTCTGGCTAACATGTTGCTTATTGAACAGTTGCTGATATGTGCTTCTTGTCTTTGCATTGATGGAATTTTTTTAATTATATAGCCTATTATCACTGATTAGAGATTGGCAGAAGAAACAGGTCTTGTCATATTGTGTTTGTAAAGTAAAGTAAATAATGCTTGCTCTCTTTTCAGAATATTAGGACACTGAGACCTCTACCGGTATCACGGAATATTACAGGCAGTGTAATCAGTTAAACGCCGTTAAGTGTTATGAGCAATGCATATAGCTACACTACAGTTCAAAAGTTTGGGGTCAGTAGGACTTTAAAAAAAGAAACAAATTTATTACATGTATGACAGTAAAGAGATTTGTACAAAAATACCTTTTTTTCCAAATAAATTCTGTTATTTTAAACTATTCATAAAAGTGTCTTATTTTTTCATAAAAATATTAGGCAGCACATCTGTTGGGTCACATAAAATAATCCTGAACACTTTGATATTCAGCATTTGATGTTTATTTTTGATTAGTTACAAAACATAAATAGAATCAACAGTTGAATTAGTTATAATTTACAGTAGCTAAATCACCAGCAATAATTTTAGTCCTCTATAGATTATTTTAACTTAAATAACCTTTCATTATTGGTGGTCCCCCTAGTTTTACTGAACAACTTCACCCAAAAGTTACTCCACTGTAGAAATGATTTATAATTATTCCAATCATTTGCATTGAATTAAAATCCCTCTAAAATCAAAATTTTGTATCAGGTCGTAATCTTTGAACACACTTTTGGGGTAAAGCTGCAAGCCAGGGGAACTCAAGAAACTGTTTAGGACTTGTGTCTTATCAGATAACCACAGCTTTCTCAACACTGATCAGTACACAATTTTACATTTTTACAACCCCTTTCAAAATACAAAAATAATGGTTTCTTTTTAGATTACATTTTTGTAACACTTCAGCAGAGGGTCATCTTTACATTTCCCATTTGTACAGATCAAATGGCTAAAGTTGGAGTTTTCTTAGACACAACAGCTTCTTGCTCACCACTATACTGTGGGTTTACTGTAAGGAGGTGGGTCTTGTCTTTAGAAAAAGGACATAAAATACTGGAAACTGTACGATCCCAATCCTCTGTAGGCAACGGTCATGTTGACTTCTTTTTGTAACATCCACGAGTTCTAGCATTAGCGCAATTTAAAAAGCTTCACAAAATGAATCCGTTCCTCATTCCACTTTACACAATACATTCCATCCTGTCCATCTCTCACCTACTTTCTCACATTTTACTTGTTGCAAAACGCAGGTTGCCTCTTTCATACCAACCTTCAGTTCCTTTTTTTCGACAAAACATTAAAAACAGGCAGTTTTCTGTAAATGGGCATTGCAGGTTTATGAATGCTGACTGAATCTTCAGTAGTCTGGTTACAGGTCTGATTTAAAGTCTGGGCACTGATATCTTGGTCTAGATGAATCACATGATCAGATCAGAATCACAGCTTTATGATCAGCGTAGAAAAATACACTGTGGAAGGCAACCTATTTCAGAATGTTCTCCCAATCATAAATTTGCATGGCAGTTATGTATATATGTCTATATCTTATCTAGCACCAGAGCAGTATCTGATGAAATGCCAGATTCAATGAGGAACACATCTTTTTGCCAGTGTTTTGCTGATGCGCTGCGTTCATGAAAAGCAAACTCACAGATCACAGTTCGGTGTTCACGGAAGCACGTTCATACGGGACTGTGCAAAAATAGACAACAACAAGAACAAGCTGCGTTCACTTCACTTGAGCTTTCCAAACAGCCGTCTAGTCTTGCACTCTTCACCACGGGATTAATGTTAATAGTGTAAACCTTAAAAGAATGATCGCCTGCTAGTGAAAAATACTGCAATCATATTAACTAGTTTCATTTGAAATCAGATGAACTGAAGAACTGTTCTTTTCTCAGAATCAATTGCAGGATCGTAAAAGGAATTAGTCGATGGCTATTTGTTATTCTAGAAAAAATCTTGGCTAAATCTAAAACGTTACCGCTATTTATCATTGTAAAATATAATACATGAGAAGCATGCCTTATCCGTGCACAACACGTGTTTTCGACTGTTTTCGTAGCTAAGATGATGGCTGCAGGGTTACCATGCTCTGCGCTGGAACATGCGATTGATCTCGCCACCGGCAGAATCCGTTGTGCTCTATTATGATGGCGCTTCACTGCTGACGTCTGGTTGTTGTCGTTTCTGTGCGTATATATAAAAAAATATTTCTTTTAAGCTATACAGACCCACGTCACAACAACACAGAAAAGAATTTAAATATCTTTACTAATTGCACTTTTTAAAATTCAAATAGTCCTTTCGTTTGAAGCACTGATAAATAAAAACAAAGAGGATCATATCTCATGTCAAAAAATGTCTCTATATAGGGCGAGTTCAGGTCCAACTAAGTCAGATATAAAACTTGACGGTGGGGAAACACACAGAGGATATGTATTGAAAAATGCAACACAAACACACACTCACACAAATACACACACACTACAGTATTAATACACCCCCATACACCAACACGCAACCACTTGCTACTAGTGTCCTTCCTGTACAGGATGTACATCGGGTATTCCTCTCCATCTTCTCACTGCTGTCCTAAAGGAAGGGTGGACGTGGAGGGTTTGGAGTGAAGTTTGGCACTGGAGGGCAGAGCGGAGGTGGAGCACGAGGAAGAGGAGGAGGAGCACGAGCAGAAAATGGTTTCTTGATTGGCGGTGGGGGCAGAGGCAGCTGTGATGCTGGTGGCGGGGGGCAGAGGAGACCCCGCTGCAGTCATGAGTGAGGGGGAGGTGCTGGGGGGAGGCGTGCCAGACACCAGGGGTTGGGATCCTGTCAGGAGCTGGACCTGCTGCGGGTGCAGGGGACACGGGCTGCACTGCAGATGTGCATTCTGCTGGGGTAGAGGAGCGATGGGAAATTGCGTTGAAGGCGGCTGCGTTTGTCCTGTGATGGTACTATAGGGGGTGGACGCCATTGTAGTCATGCTGACTGATACAGGAGTACTTAAAGGAGCCTCGGAAAACCAACCCGATGAAGCTGTTGTCTGCCAGATAGAAACGTTATTTACTTATTTGTTTTTTTTTGCATCACAAATAACAATACAGAGGAATCCAAATGTCTGAAACTATATTGAAAATCAAGGACTTAAAATTAGATCAAAATCTGAAAATAATCAAGTTTTAGTTAACCCTTATACCCTTATGAGTTTTTAAATGCGGAGCGAGGGCCGCCTTGTGAGTCTAAGCACACACGTGTGGTAATGGTATTAAATAAGAAAAACGCAAAATAGGATTGTTTTCCAGTAGAGTTCATAAGGTGAAGACACGATTAACATTGTTAAGTTTTAGTGAGTTTTTGTGGATGAAATACAGGAATTTCATTAGATATCCACGCAATCAGGAGGGGGAAAGATTTTCGGTCAGATTTCGCAACGGGTTCGTTGGTCACTCGAATTTGCTGGATTGACCAACAGAAAACTGCTTGGTTTGAAAGTAACTTGTGTGAGCGGTGCTTCATATATTGCTACACTATTGACAACTTTTGCAAAATTAAACTAACGTGATCGTACCTTTAGACTTTTGAATCCCACTGTATGTCACAACAAAATATTTTAATCCATACAGGATGACAAATGGAGACACTGTATTTGTTGCATGAATGCTTTACCTCAGTAGTCTGACCCCATCCGCCCAACTCCTGCACTTGTTGGATCTGTTTGATTTGATTCAGTGAAGGCTTAGGCTGAACAGGGCACACAGCTTCTTTTGACCACTCATCAACAAGCTTATGCAGTTCATCTGTGAATGTGCTCTTTCTATTGGCAGAAACCTGGCCTGAAGGACTCTGGTCTGAAAACAAAATGATGGAATTGTTAAAGACGGCATTAAATAAAGTCAACGTAATTCTCATTCATTACAATACGTTTTTGAAAGAAGTCTCTTATGCTCAACAAGGCTGCATTTATTTGATCAAAGTAAATATCGTATTGAATATTGTGAAATATTATTACAATTTAAAATAACTTCTCTATTTTAATACATTTAAAATTGTAATTCCTGTGATGGCAAAGCTGAATTTTCAGCATCATTACTCCAGTCTTCAGTGTCACCTGATCCTTTAGAAATTATTCTAATATGCTGATTTGATGCTCAAGAAACATTTCTTATTCACAAGTTTACACTTAAATGTAATAAAGTGGAGTAAAGGTTATGCGTATTTGGCGTGCGGTCCAGGGGGGGGGGCTCCGAGCTCGGAATTTTTGCCCGAACCCAGAGTACTCCCCCCGGTTGTTGTAAGAGTAGTTAGGACTGGAAGTGAGGAGATGGGTTGGTGGAGGGATGCTGTTAAACTGTCGACGAACGGGGGCAAGTCTGCTGTACATGTATACCTCTTATTTTGGTAATTGGTTGATTAAATGAGTGTGCTCCTCTTGAGTTAATTTAGGTTAATTATCTGGTGCTCCTCCCGAACTTTGTTAATAAAACATAATTTATTATTAATGTTGAAAACAGTTTTGCTGCTCAATGTGCAATTAGAATGTGCAAAGATTTTTTTTCAGGATTCGTTGATGAATAGAAAGTTGAAAAAATAAAAACAGCATTTATTTGTAACATTACACAAATCTTTGCCGTCACTTTTGATCAATTTAATGGATCCTTGCTGATTAAAGTATTAATTTCCTTCAAAAATGTATTTTTTTTAAACAGTAATGTATTATTATTTTGAGCATGTTCTATAGCTTTAGTACCTCTATTAGCAGTCAGTGATGGGGTTTTCTCAGGCTTGCAGTATGAGTGAAGCCTGCTTTTCTCCCTACCAGAATAACTACTAGACTGCTGAAGACTCCCTGAGTGTGTGTTTTAAAAGCAACAGGAAAACCGTAATAAAACCGTAGCTAATTCTAACTCTTCATTATGACAGTACCTTGGTGTGTGACTCCGTTGTTATCCATGTGAGAGTGGGGTCGGGGCCGGAGCTTGGCTTTGGCGGGTCGGGGTCTGCGTGGGGAGATGGCGAGGGGTGCAGCGGGCAAAGGAGAAGTCCGGGGCAGGGTCATGGACAGAGGATGTCTGTGGTCTTTCAGAGAGCGAAGCTGCCTGTACAAATCCTGCAGCTCTCGGTTCTGCTGTGCCTGCAGGGACACCACCTCTTTGATGTGTCTACAAAGATAAAAGAGAGGAGGAAGTAATAGTAGAATTAGAAGTATTAGTATAAGAAGAACAGCAGTGCAGAATTCAACTGCTCTCACTTCTCTCTCAGCTTATGGAGCTCTTTCCTCAAATCTTCATCCTCCACCTCGCTCTCATCGTCGCTGCTGCCTAGGGGCGAGCGTGCGTGACTCCTGGGTGGGTGGGTGGGCACTGTAGTTTTCCTCTCCTCCTTTTCACCATCCTTCCCTTTCGTTTTCCTCCTCTCTCGCTCCAGGTCAGGTGACACAGGAGAGCTGTCCGTCAAATTTTCCTCACTTTGTTCGGCTTGAGTAACTGAAAAACGGCCAACTTTTCTTTGCGTGAATCCTAGGCTTGGTGCAGCTTCCTGTGGTGAAAGGGGCTCTGCGGACTGGGACACTGGAATCACCTACAAGAAAAGAGAAAAGGAAGAAGCAGTTACTTCACAAAGTTACAATTATTTGTGGTAGCTGTTATCACAATAAAGACAAAAAGAGACAATATGCGTAAACTGACCAACAGCTAAAAAATGTGATTGGATGGACTACTTGTCATCTATCAGGGAAAGTCACTCAGTGATCTCATACTTCTTATTAGTCATGTTGGAATGATTGTGTTTATAAGGTAAGCACATGAACACCACCATGAGGTTGTAAATGGAAAGCGTTATTCAAACAATCATGGCTGAAGCAAGTTATTATTGTTTTTATATACACTACCATTCAAATGTTTGGAGTCATCAATATATATATATATATAAAAAAAGAAATTAATACTTTTATTCAGTATGGATGCATTGATTTGATAAAAAGCGAGAGTGAATACATTTAACATTACAAAAGATTGCAAATCAACAACAAAAAAATTTGTTCATCAAATAATCCTAAAAATTGTACCACAGTTTCCACAAAAATATTAATCAGCGCTACTGCTTTTAACATTGATAATAATAAGAAATGCTTCTTGAGCTGCAAATCTGAATATTAGAATGATTTCTGAAGGATCAAAAGACACTGAAGACTGGAGTAATCATGCTGAAAATTTAGCTTTGCCTTCACAGGAATAAATTACATTTTAAAAGATAAAACAAAAATGGATATTTTAAATTGTAATAATATGAACATGTCACTTCTTTCAAAAATATATAAAAAATCTTACCAAACAAACATTTGAAGGGTAGTGTAAATATGTTGTAATAATAAATATTGATGATTTATTAGATTTTTTTTATAGCTGGTTTATGAAAAGACCGCACTATTTCCCATTATTCTCTGTGGCAGCATAATATACATCAATTTCACACTTAATGTGCATCTTTTGTCAAATTAGATCTGCCTTTGTCAGTTGGAGAAATATGACATTATCTTTTTTCTAGATCTCAACCAAAATAATTAATAATTCCATTTTCCAAACTCTTAAGTAGACATTTTCCCAGCAGCATTTCTTTTTAAACTGTGTCTATGGTGTATGTGGTTTTGTCTCAATGTTTACACTTCTTCCTGTCTGACAAGAAACTGAAAAGATTGAGCTATTGCAAAATGATAATGGCAGAACAATGGCCGTACCTGGAAACGCCCTCTGTGCGAGCAGGGTTGGTTATTTGCAGATGTCTCCCTCTCCTCCTCCAGCCCTTGGCTGAAGTTGCCATCTTATCAGAAGGAATAAAGAGAGAGACGCAAAGACGAGGGAACACAATGACAATAGTAAAATGAAATGGGAATATACAGATAATGAAAAAAAAAACACAAATAAGCACACAAACAGAAGACACCACAGACACAGGAAGATGGCATTAATAACTACACCACACAACAGATCTTTGACTAACAAGCATCCATGCATGTTCACATGGTGAGATTATAGATTCAGCATGTCAAATTACACCATCACTGGCAGTCGGTGGACATGAATATGGATATGATTATCATCTCAAATGTCATGCTGAGTGGACGCAGAGTGTGATGGGGAATGGGTTTGGGGAGGGGTGGCAGGGAGCAGATTTAACAAACAGTAAAGCCAGTTCATGGAAGAACAATCTCTGCACCATAACTTCTAAAACATTAGAGAGTAATAAACAGAAGTATGCCCCCATCCATCCACACTCACACAATTGCATTCATCTGTCAGACTCTAATATCACTCCCTAGAGAGAGGCAGTGATACCAGTCAGCATGTGTGAATAATCTACATCTACTGCGTGTTCATGGTGTGTATACAGAAACACTGTATCATTCCAGTGATTCTATTTCTAGTTGATGGTCCTAAGTTGATTTTTTATGATACATAGCCATATGCACACACACATATTGAATATTTACAGTCTTGTCAGACTTGAATTGCTAAAAACTATTGCTCTATTGCTTTAGACTGATGATATATTACATGTAGGCTATGTTAGGAATGGCATACTACCATATTACTTATACTAAGCAAATTTTCAGTATTTATGGAACATCCAGATGACTCAGATATGACATTTTCACCAAAATGTGTTGAATACAAGCAGAGAACAATACAAGGAATACTGTATCCCATCATACTTCTTATACTAAGTATTTATACTGTGCATAGAATGCAAATGTTCAGTTTTCATTCAATGAAATAATAATTTAAGCAATAAAATCAGCAAATTCTAACACTAATCTTTTTTTCATTACTTGATTAGACTGCCATTTGTACTACAAAATTAGATAATTTATTTCCAACATGCCACTGAATGTACACTACTGTTCAAAAGTTTGGGGTATGCTCACCAAGACTGCATTTATTTAACCAAAAATACAGTAAAACAGTAATATTTGAAACATTACAATTTAAAATAACTTAACTATTTAAATATTGCAATTTCAAATATTTGCTAACAATGCAAGTCTTTACTGAAACTTTTGGTCAATTTAACGCATCCTTGCTGAATAAAAGTACTAATTTCTAATTATTTCTACTACTTTTTTCATCTAAATCTTACTGACCCCAAACTTATAGTAATGAAATGTTGAAATGTTTATCAGTGCATACTGTGTACTTTTTCACATGCCAGTTTTTAAACAAAAACTGTAAGGACAGCAGTATGCTAGTATTCCATTCCAAACAAACCCATGGACATGCAAAAAAATACGAAAAATAAAACCTTCTAAAAGTCTGCCCAGATAGGAAAGAACAGGATATGATCTAAAGTTCAGGGAGAAAAAAATCTACACTTATATGAAAAATGGATTGCTAGTACCTGAAAAATAGCTGTTCGCTTTAACTAGACATTAGAATGACTTACTTGCTAAAGCTTCGAGTGAGTTAATTCATAAATATACAATGTCAATGGTGCATAAAATGTAAATTCAAAAATGTAATGAGGGCCAGATTAATTTCTCAGTATTAAAAAATGTTTGCAGCTGTTATGTTTGCATTAGAATGGACAGAAATGTAATTAGAGTGGGCATGATGAACAATATGTAGTATCTAGTATCATGCCTCTTCAATTCCTAAACAAATAAAAATGAACAGGTGCAAACTTCAGAGTCTGGCCCATGTAACTTGTAAACAAGTGTGCTATTTCGCAACTGCAGGTGCTCTGGGTGAGTGAGGCAGGGTTCAGGAAGGTGAGGGGCACGGGTGCCGCAATACTGCACTGCATACGCTGGGGATGGAGACTCAGATCCAGGTGCGACGCACAAGGGTCATCCCTCTTAGATTCTCTTTCCTTTCTACACTCCTCTGTTCTTACCCCTGGGTAACCCATGCAGACAAAACAAAAAGGAGGCTACAACATAAATGTTAATGTACAGCAGAGCAATTCCTTTTAAACAAAAACTCAAGCAAGAAAAATGTATCGCTAGATGATGTAATGATTTCAGTACAGACTAAGCAAAGCAACAACCACGTCACCATGGAAAGACTATTAGGATTAATAACTAATTATTAATTCTAACAGTATTTTTAGAAATTAAGAAATCCCTATCGAGCAAGGTAAGACTCAGCTATATTATTGGCTACATTCATTTTAATCTAAACATTTGTTATAGGTCAGTGCCCACCCACATCCCTCACTCGCTCTCTCTTGCGTGCTTCCTATGGACACTACCTTGCTGGACTCTGGGCTTCTTGAACAAGCTGGCGGAGTGGCGCAGTTTGCATGCCCAGCTTTTGAATTTGCGAGTCCAGGATTTCTTGCTAACAGGATTTCTGATACTAGGACATGTCAGGTTTAGGCCAAAATATCCACCTCCTTCATTGTGCTGCTGCTGCTGCTGTCCAGGCCACAGTGGGATGGGCGACTGAGAAGAGGAAGGCAAAAGAACATCTCCAGGGAGGGAAGGGGGAGCCTGGACACAACATGTGAGCAACAGGAATTGAACAAACGTAAGATGTGAGAATAAAATCTCTGTCTAATAAAAATAAGCAGGTTTTTTTAACGATAAAAGATCATGACAAACTAAAAGTTCCCTTTAAAAAGACTTAATTTTCATTATGTGGACAGCTGTAATACCTGACATTTTTTACCTTATGTTCTGCCGAAAAACAAAATTTATTTTAATTCAGAAATGAAAAAACATACTATTGAAGAGATGCATTTGTTTGTTTGTATGAACTGCATTTTAATGTGTTTTTGAATAAAATGGATTGGGGAAAAAAATAATTAGCTTCCTGCCACTGATCTGTTATAAACACCCCACTTACGCTTACTGATGTTTCACTGGGCACTTTCGGGGATCCAGGCTCCTGTGGAGGGGAAAGGAGGGAGCACGGAGGGGATGTAGAGGAGAAGGATGATGCAGGCTGTTGTTGCACGGCAGAAGGGATTGTTTCCTCCTCACCTGCTCTCTCCCGCTCTCCATCTGGAGAGGTGGAGGAAGAACGAGGGGTGGTGGAGGAGGTGGTGGAAGAGGTGGAGTGAGGGGAGGTGTCTGAGGAGGTGGCAGGAGGTGGGGAGAACGTATAGGGGGGCTCTGAAGATTCATCAACTGCTGTGGAGGCTGCAGCAGATCCCGAGGGGGCAGGAGCAGGGCCGCCCATGGAGCCACTTCCCAGAGCTGCCCCGCTGCCGCTGTGCTCCTGATACAGCAGAGTCCTCAGTTTCTCATCCAAAGTCTTGATTCGGTTGTCCACAAACTCGATTTTGGGTGGGCCTTCGCTGTCTGACTCCGCAACCGAGGAGGGCTGGGCAGGAGAGGGTGTGAGTGTATGGGAGAGGGTGGGAAGAGTAGTATCAGAGAGTGGGAGGGGTGGGAGAGAGGTGTCCGAAGAAGGATGGGGTGGGGCAGAGTGGCTGACGGTGTCCTCACCAGTGGACAGCTCAGACTCCGACTGCTGGACAGATGCCTGCTTCTGCATAGCCGGAGGCACTACGGTTTGTGCCATCGGCATCATATCATGCTGTACCTGCTGAAGTAACATCTGCGTTTGCTCTGTGGAGAGCTGCTGCGGGATTACAGACTGAAACTGAGCTCGAAGCTGTAGGGGATCTTGGGTCTGGAAGCAATGCTGAGGATGCATGGACAGCATCGTTGGGGCCGGTGTGGTTTCTTGAGACACATACTGTTCTCCCGTGTGGTGTTGGATCTGCTCGGCATTGGCTGTTTGCTGGAGGCCATGTTGCTGCAAGAATGCGGACTGTTGCATCGCTAGCTGTTGAGAATCAACTGGTACTTGTTGGTGAGGGACCTGCTGAACTTGGGCAGCTGGAAGGCCTTCCTGCAAAGGGACCGTCTCCACTGGTATCGGCTGTGATAGTGCTTTTGACTCGCTAGGCTGGAGTTTAGGTGGCTGTGGAGCGACCTGGAGCACTGGATGAGGTGTAATCTGTGGTTGCTGAGCCTGTTCGGTGGTGGCCATTGCTAACTGTAGTGTCTGGGTCTGTTGAAGTATATCTGGTGTCTGTGAGGGTGCCATTTGGGTTTGAGCTAGCAATTTCTGTGATGGATCAGCGTGGGTCACCAGAGATGCTGGAGGGGTCCCATAAGCAGACAAGTTAGAGAGGGGCTGTTCACCCCCACCTTTAACTGGAGCATCTCCTTGTTCCACATTGGAGCCTGTGAGGGCTGCGACTGCAGGGAAAGGAGCGGCAGAGGTGCTAGAAGCCACGACAGGGATTGAGCCTGAAGTCAAGATAGCAGAGGAGACTTGCTCAACTGTTGGCAAGGCAGAGGGTGTTATATCTTTTTGGGCAGCAATGGCCGAGGCTGACATGGATGCAGGGGCTGATACAGTAGAGACCAGAGGAGAGGATGCAGATATTGAAGAACTTGGGGAAGATGCTATCCCAGCAAAAGACTCTGAGCGCTGAGGGCTCTCATGATCTGATAATACATTAGACAGAGTACAAAATTCTTCAGATTTCATGCTAATTAATATCCATCTTTTTAATTATCATCACTATATCACTATCTTAGCTGAAATTAACAACAGAAATGTTGTAAACTTTCACTCAATTCATTTTAGCTTGGATTATGCAAGTAATTTCAATTTCAAATTTCACACCAGACAAAAAGTACTGTGCGTCACAGTGAATTATCTACCTTTCTCCAATTCTATGGACTTGGGAACTAGGCTCTCTCCCATTGGTGGGGAAGTGGAAGCTCCCTGGTTGGAGTATGAGTCACGATGGCGAATGGTTTGGTTAATGAAGAATCGCCAGCGACCCACGGGGGAAGACTGAGGGGCTGAATCCACTTCGCAAATAGGAGAATAACACAGAAAATTTATTTTGCTACTAACTGTAACAACAGTGTAAAATTAAAAAAGTCTTGGTTAATATTTATTTTTTAGTTTAATCAAGATAAAAAGACACCAAAGTTACAAAGACAATACAACTTTAATCCAAACTTTATTCTTCAATTTCATGGTCAGAAGGTTATACACACTTGTTGCACTGGATGGGGTGCTCACATGGAGTTGCTCCAAGGACCCAGTCTGAGACAGGAAAAAACCTCATAAAATTAGAAATAACAAACCAAACAGACTCAAACGTTCAAAGTTCAAAAATTCGGGGTCAGTAAAAAAAAAGAAAAAAAAGAAAAAGAAAAAAAAGAAAGTAAGCAGCAAGGACACATTACAGTTTTTTGATCAAGTGACAGTTAAAGACTTTTACATTTAATAGATTTTTTAGTGAACAAATAAATGCTGTTCTTTTGATCTTTCCATTCATCAAAGAAAATCCTAAAAAAAAAAAAAAATCACAGTTTCCACAAAAAAATATTAAGCAGCACATCTGTTTTCAACATTGATTATCAAATCAGCATATTAGAAAGATTTCTCAAGATTAATGTGACACTGAAGACTGGAGTAATGGCTACTGAAAATTCAGCTTTGCCATCACAGGAATAAATTATAAAAATACATTAAAAAAAACTTTTAATTTTAATTTGTAATGATATTTCAAAATAATACTTTTTACTGTATTTTTGATCAAATAAATGCAGCCTTGGTGAGCATAACATTTTAATGTTAGCATACATTCAATGGCATTTCAGAAACAAAAAATTAGGTTAGGGTTAGACCTGTGACTGAGTGCTAAGTATTCCTTGAGCTTTCTTCACTATAGCTCTTAGCTCCCCAACAAATTTCTCTTTCTCAGGCTCAAGGACAAAATCCTCCTCCACCTAAACAAAACACATTGAGAGGATATTTACCAGTGAACAACAGGTCAGGATCAGCTATCACAAATTCTCTTAATATGTTACTTCTTAAGAAGCAAATGGTTCACATAGCTGCTGAACATATTTCACCATGTAATCTGCAATGTCTTCAGGTGCATCTCCCTCAATATCAAACTTGAATGTGACCATCTTGTTGCTGTGAGTCTCCAATTGGCACTCTACCATGTTGTCCCCTGTTCCTGAGACCTAAAACATAGACAGTGTTCATAATATATGATTTAATTAATTAAATTAAAAGTAAAGCTCAGAAATTATTATAAATATTGTGATTTACATACCTGCAACATGCTGAGTTGAAAATGAGTTTTTTCAGTCTTTTGACAGGATGATCTCCTCTGAGATTTTACCTTATCTAGTTTTCCACTGGCCCACAGCGATTGAGCCTCATCTCCATTGGCAGGAACAGAGCTGGATTTATAAAATGTAAAAAAAAAAAATTCAATCTGTCTGTGCACAGTTAAATGTATACCAAATATTTAAAAAAAGTACACAAAACTACTGTACTTACCCTGATGAGGAGCCCCTGTTGGCAGACTGATGTGGGCTCTCCTGTTTAGACAAGAGAAAAGACAAACAAACACACAGGAACCACCACATACCAACAGAAAAACAAAAAGAAAAACAAAACATCAGTTATGTAATGAGTTATGCAAATAATAAAACAAATAATAAAAAATTCCATAAGTAAATTAAAAGCAAAGTATTACACAATACTTTGTGTAAACCAAAAACAAAATAACTGTCCTGAATTCAAGAGACAAAAAAAGTTTGATTTTTGCAAGTTAAACTGGTTTTGCAGGTGTTAAGATGTGTTAAGAAGTAGTGGGTCTTGTATCTCAAGTTAACAGAGTTAGAAGAGATAGATGTTTGTTTGTCTTCTACCTTCATTAATCTGTTCTGCAGAACCTTCACATACATGTATATGGGGCACTTTTAGATATTGCTATAAACTCGCAGGACAAAAATGCTCACTGTAATGTGTTATATATTTGAAACTAATATAAAGTGCTTTTGTACCTGAGCAATGCCCAGCAATGCAGCATCACTTTCTGCCAGCGAGGTGGTGGGCAACACAGAGCCATTAGAGTCATGGGACCGTGAAGCATTGACAGTAGGAGGGGAATCAGGGATCATGTCAGCAGGCTTTGCCTGGTTTAGCTGTGCCTCTGCTGGGACAGGAATTTCTGAAACTGGGAAAGCTGGTTGTAGGACTGGGAGATTGGCAGAGGGCTGTAGGGAATAATGAGATGGACTTGGGGGGATTTGTGATGGTATAAAGGCAGCTTGGGAGTAATCAGGCTGCTCGAAACTCCCAGTAGCCTCTATGTGGGTATGCGCTTGTGCGTTTGAGTGTGTTTGAGCAGGAAGAGTTTGTTTCTGCTGGTTCTGGGGCAAGGGTGGTAGACACGAAACCACCTGACTGTACAGAGGTACCGTTCTAGCTTGGGTCTGAGGTACCTGACTAGGAGCTATGTTCACCGGGAGCATATGTTGGAGCACTGATTGAGGCTGACAAGGTTGTTGAAGGAGATCGTGTGGTAGAACAGCATTAGGGGGTAGAAGCTGCTGCACAGGTTGGGTCTGATGTTGATGGTGGAGCTGTTGCTGCACATGGTGGGCTTGAGGCAGTTGCTGCTCATGCTGTTGGGTAGCCTGAGGTTGCACTGGAGGCATGGGCTTCAAGACCGCCTGCATCAAGGCCCCACTGACTGGATGTTGCTGAGCTTGGATGACGGGAGGAGCCTGCATTTGTGATTGGTTTGTCTGTTGTAAATAGCACTGCATTGATGAAGTGGCCATTGGGTTGATGGTAGGCGCATGTGACACAGGAGAAAGTACTGCTTGCTGAAATTGCTGCACAGGCGGCTGCTGTTGTTGTTTCACAGGTTGTGTGAGGTCTAGTTGAGGAGACTGAATGGTTTGCGGACCGACAGGTGCTTGAGCATATTGTGTGGGCATAAGTGTAGAAGCAGCGGGCACTGTAGCATGCACAAGAGGAGCAGGTGCAGGTGACCCTACCACGACTTGACACTGGAGAGAAGTTGCAGCTTGAGGTGGTACCAATTGAGTTTGGGATGGAAGGGTTTGCCCTTGTGAGACCATTTGTGTTGGAGTTGGTACAAACGAATGAATGGGTTGTGGTGTAGGAACTTGTGTTGGAGATTTGATTTGTTGGGTCGGTTGTGGAACTTGCAGCTGGCCTGCTTGAATATGGCCTCCAATTGACTGTTGTGCAGGATGACTTTGAGTCTGCAGGGGAATCTGACCATAAATTCCAGGGTCCCCTTGACTCTGGATTTGAACTTGCGCTGAAGGTTGAGCCGACATCTGAGGTGGTACCTGTTGCTGGATGAGTACTGGGGCTGGAACTTGACTAGGTATTTGAGCATTAACCATTTTTGGAACCGCTTGAACCAGGGATGAAACTTGTAAATCTACCAGAGAAGGTCTATGCGATGCCTGGGGAAGGATGGCTTGTTGCTGCTGAATCAAGACCTGTTGCTGCTCAGTTTGTGTTTGTTGTTGAGAAAGATGAGGTTGAGGTTGTGAGGAAATTATTTGTTGAGAGTGCTGCATTTGACTAATCTGCTGGACCATCTCAGGAGGCTGAGATTTCCCTAGGTTTGCCTGATCTACGAGAGCTGCATGTTGCTCTATATGCTGTTGCTGCATCAAAACTTGTTGCAGTTGTTTCTCGGCTTGTAGAGCTTGTTGTCGCTGTAATTCAATCTGGTGTTGTTGCATCAGAAAATGTTGCTGCATCTGTGACTCTCTCTGTTGTAGCAATGTCTGTTGTTGCTGCTCAGTCTGTTGTTGAAATATCTGCTGCTGCAATTGTTGATCCGTCGGCTTCTGTAGTTGCGGCTGTTGCTGTAAAACATGTTGCTCTATCTGCTGAGGCTGCTGGCGTAGTAAAGTTTGTTGCTGTTCAATGTTTGTCTGCTGTTGAAGCTGCAGCAGTACATTTTGCTCTAACTTTTGCTGCTGCTGAATGAGTGCTTGCTGCTGCTGCTGTTGTTGCTGCTGTTTAAACAAAGCCTGCTGTTGCTGCTCCAACTGTTGCTGATGTAAAAGCGCTTGTTGCTGCTGTAACTGGAGTTGCTGCTGTTGTTGTAGCAAAGCTTGCTGTTCCAACTGTTGTTGCTGCAGAAGAGCCTGTTGTTGTTCACGTTGCTGCTGCTGCAATAGTGCTTGTTGTTGCTCCAGTTGCTGTTGCTGAAACAAAGCCTGTTGCTGTTGTCTTTGTTGTTCCACCTGTTGCTGTAAAATGGCTTTTTGCTGCTGTTCTATTTGCTTTTGTTGCTGTAATGCTTGCTGCTGTTGCTCGATCTGTTGCTGTACGGCCAAGTTTTGTTGTTGCTGCAGAAGAATTTGTTGTTGCTCAACTTGTTGTTGTGGCTGAATATAAACTTGTTGATGTTGTTGCTCCATTTGATTGTGCAAAACGGCTTTCTGTTGCTGCTCAATTTGTTGCCTTATCAGAAGTTGCTGTTGTTGTTGCTCCGTCAATTGCAATGGCTGCTGGATTGTTTGGAGTACCGGTGGCTGTTGAACCATGGTTTTTATCATGCCCTGCTCTTGTGATTCAGCTATTTGTTGCACATAAACTTGCTGTGCCTGTTGCTGCTGAGTCTGGTGTTGATATTGTTCTACTGAGGATTGTTGCACTGACAGCTGATGCTGCTGTATCACAACTTGTTGGGGTTTGCTTGGAGGTTGTTGTATGTACACCTGCTGTTGTAGCTCACCTTGCTGTGGATTGGACATTGTTGGCTGGTTCTGCTGTGGCAATGGGATATATGGCTGCTGAGATGCACTGGAATGTGGTGGCTGTTCCTGCAGAACCACCTGGTGTTGTTCTATATTCTGTGGCTGTTGTAATAAAACGGCCATTTGTTGAACCTGGTCCGTCGGCTGTGGCAACACCACAGTCTGGCGCTGCTGCATTATATTTGCCTGCTTTTGTGGTGTTGCTTGCTGAATGTTCAGTTGCAACGTTCCGGGCAATTCTGACATCACCTGCTGTTGCGTCTGAACAATTGTTTGCTTGGGCAAAACATCAGTAGGTTGAACAGGAGCAATACTAGTTTGGGTCTGCATGGGTGGCATGTTGTTGCCTACTGATGCTATGGGTTCTCCAGCTGGGATGGAGGAAGTGAGGACAGTCATGGGTGCCTGGGGTGATATTGGGGGGATGTATGACTGCGACTGTACAAGAGAACTGTGGGGAGTGGAAGCATCAGCGGGTCGGGAGTGTAACATTTGCGAGGATGTAACATCTGTTGAGTATGGTGGAAGGGGCTGGTGGGAAAAACACATTTGGAAATTATTTGGGAAGGATGGATAGGCCAGATCATGGAGTTGGGTAGCAAGTAGTGGTGGGAGGGAGAAAAAGAGAGAGCGAAGCATTAGTGCACTTCATTAATCATCCAAAGGAAACAAGACATTTTGGAAAGCAAAAAACATGAAACAACATTCTGCACGTGCAGTTATTAGGTTATTCTTAGACTGTTCATACTACGATCAATGCTGTTGTTTTTTGATTATACACCACCTCAGATCAGAGGCAGCTGTATTCCAAGAATGAAAGACATTACAGATGGTGTTCAGGTCAGACCAATCCATCATTAAAGCTGTACTATACTAAATGCAATTTTGAGCATAAAAAAAAAAGAATCCTACTGGCAAATATTGGCCCTGCAATAGACTTTATTCAGAGCAGAGCCATGACAGGTATGAAAGCGAGGTTGTGAGGGATAGACTTGCCTTGTTTTTAAAGGCATCCGCTGTAAAAAGCCCCTAGATCACTACTAATTTTACACAGATCATGTTGTCTGGAGGTTTTTTTTTTTTGTCTACTGAAATTTCTTGGAAAGATATTTTTGCAGTGTTTTGTCAGCAGAAAAATCCAAAACCATTAAATAACAGTACAACCCACTGAAGAGATGTACAGTATGTCTATGCCTCACAGCCTTGCTATCATTCTCGTTAAAAATCAAAGATGGTGCTGCTGTGAATAAAGTCTACGCAGCAAGGGTTTTTGAATGACTGCAGCGCTTTCGTTCAGGTATGCCAAATTTTCACAGAGTTTGATGAAAACAAATTATACTTGATGGGTCTAGTGTGATACAGCTGTGGGGCTATTTTTGCAGTCAGTTTGCTTTGATTCATTGTTTTGCATTTATCTGTATTCTTGACTTGACAAATGTCTTACTGTCTAACACCATACAATTTTATACGACAATAAATTGAACTATGAATTATATTCTAGAAACAATTCATATTTACAATTCAAGGACTATATACAGCCAATACAACCATTATTTCTTTCAAATTATCAGCTCATTTGGTTCAGCATTCAGTGAATTTCAACAACAAATATGTTCTCTGGACCAAACATTAAATATGTAGGTCAGTGAACATCATGTAGCTCAGCACATGACCTAAATCAAAGTCACAGATTGCAGATAGATATCTTAGGAAATTCAATTAGTATTTCAGTAACAGAGTGCCATGTCTATATACACTCACCGGCCACTTTATTAGGTACACCTGTCCAACTGCTCGTTAACACTTAATTTCTAAGCAGCCAATCACATGGCGGCAACTCAGTGCATTTAGGCATGTAGACATGGTCAAGACAATCTCCTGCAGTTCAAACCGAGCATCAGTATGGGGAAGAAAATTGATTTGAGTGACTTTGAACGTGGCATGATTGTTGGTGCCAGAAGGGCTGGTCTGAGTATTTCAGAAACTGCTAATCTACTGGGATTTTCACGCACAACCATCTCTAGGGTTTACAGAGAATGGTCCGAAAAAGAAAAAACATCCAGTGAGTGGCAGTTCTGTGGGCGGAAATGCCTTGTTGATGCCAGAGGTCAGAGGAGAATGGCCAGACTGGTTCGAGCTGATAGAAGGGCGACAGTGACTGAAATAACCACTCGTTACAACCGAGGTATGCAGCAAAGCATTTGTGAAGCCACAACACGCACAACCTTGAGGCGGATGGGCTACAACAGCAGAAGACTCCACCGGGTACCACTCATCTCCACTACAAATAGGAAAAAGAGGCTACAATTTGCAAGAGCTCACCAAAATTGAACAGTTGAAGACTGGAAAAATGTTGCCTGGTCTGATGAGTCTCGATTTCTGTTGAGACATTCAGATGTTAGAGTCAGAATTTGGCGTAAACAGAATGAGAACATGGAACCATCATGCCTTGTTCCCACTGTGCAGGCTGGTGGTGGTGGTGTAATGGTGTGGGGGATGTTTTCCTGGCACACTTTAGGCCCCTTAGTGCCAATTGGGCATCGTTTAAATGCCACGGCCTACCTGAGCATTGTTTCTGACCATGTCCATCCCTTTATGGCCACCATGTACCCATCCTCTGATGGCTACTTCCACCATGTCACAAAGCTCTAATCATTTCAAATTGGTTTCTTGAACATGACAATGAGTTCACTGTACTAAAATGGCCTCCACAGTCACCAGATCTCAACCCAAAAGAGCATCTTTGGGATGTGGTGGAACGGGAGATTCGCATTATGGATGTGCAGCCGACAAATCTGCGGCAACTGTGTGATGCCATCATGTCAATATGGACCAAACTCCCTGAGGAATGCTTCCAGCACCTTGTTGAATCTATGCCACGAAGAATTGAGGCAGTTCTGAAGGCAAAAGGGGGTCCAACCCGTTACTAGCATGGGGTACCTAATAAAGTGGCCGGTGAGTGTATTGTCACTTATCAAAATATATGTTTTTCTGTGCCATGTCTATATTTTGTCAAAGGCACATACCTTGATGAGTGAAGTAACCTAGCAGTCCCTCAACATATTCCTCTAAAATAACTTAACATTTGACAGACTGAATGAAGTCTCCCTGGATTGATTTGCTTTAGATGCTAATTATTGTGTCCAGTGCAACAGTGAACTGAGAGAAGGAAAAAGCACACAGTGAAGCTGGACACAAGGGAGACAATCACCTGAGAATATTGTTGAGGCACACTTAATGGGACCTGTGATGCCATAGCGACTGGTTGAATGAAAGTCTGTGCCACAGGAATGTTAGGAGCCCCACCACCACTTTGACCAATGTAAATGCCAGATATCCCACCATTCTGGCCAACAGGCACATTTGAAACCCCTCCGCTCTGACCAATAGGGAGCAGCTGGGGGTGAGATATAACCCCTGCTCCTTTCACTCCCTAAATAAAGGAAACAATTCTTATCTGACCAAAGAGTACATTCACACAACAATTACTTCTTTTTTTCTTTTTTTTAACTGTATAACAAAGGTTTCAAATGAGCAAGAATGGTGGTGATTCAGCAGCAGGGGTTGTATGGCACTAGATAAAAAAAAATTGTTTCTGAAGTAGTGGTACTTACAGATGTGCCAGTGGGGTAGCTGGTTTGAGCAAGAGCACATGGGTTCCCTGACTCCGGTACGGAAAAGGCTTGGCTTTGTCCACTGACAGGAGGAAGACTCTCACCCTCTGAATATGGAAAAGTAGACGGCCAAATCAACATGTATACACCAATTTGGGGCAAATAATAGTTACAAGTGCCTGTTATATCCTGTTAATAAGACTGTGATTCTAAATTAATTGTGCACCTTTGAAGCCCAATGCAGTCCCTTGCTGTTGGACATGTTGGTCTACTTCTGGCAGCTCCTCTGCCTCTCCCTGACCCCCAGCAGTTGCAGCAGCTCCTGTGCCCTGTGAGGAGGTGGTGCAGGAAGGATGAACATAGGAAAAGGAGGAGGTAAGGACTGTGGAGTCACGGCGGTCATCAAGACTTTGTTGTTGTTGCTGCTGAAGGAGCTGATGTTGTCGCCGTTCACGGGACTTCTTAATTAGAGTCACCCTGTCTCTAATGGACTTCCCCACCACCTTAGCATCACTTTCATGGAAAAAGCCAGACTTCACCTATAAAAACGTAATAGAAATAGAGAAAAAATAAAAAAAGAGACAAGTTGTCTTAAAGAGAGTTCACCCAAAAATAAAAACTGTCATCGTTTACATCATTTTCATGTCATTCTAAACTTGATGCAAAAGCACCTTAGAAACAGAAAGTGTAAAAATGTGTTTTTTTTTAAATGTGTCAGATGTTTTCGCCATTCGCTCCAGTCTTCTTTGACTGTGATTATATTGGAAAGAACAGAAATTAATGATATTTATTTTTATAAAAAAACTTTTTGTGTTCTAGACAAAAGTCAAACAGGTTTGGAATGACATGAGGACAGTATTTCCATTTTTAGGTTGAACTGTTCATTAAAACACAATAAATAGCACAAATGGTAGTTTATTGTAGCATTTATAAAAAAACCACTTTTCTGTTTCTCACCATCTCCAGTGCAACTTCTTCAGCACTGTCATTCTCCAGGTCATAGCTGAACTCAATGGCCTCATTGTCCTTGTGCTTGCCTTTGAGTTTCTTTGGATCTTCAACCCAGATGCGCAGGGCCAGGCAGTCTTTGCAGCCAGTATCTTCCTCAGCAAGCTCCACACGCACGCCGGTGTCCTCCGCAAAGAAGGCATGATTTAGAAGGTCCTTCACTGAGAGCCTGAGGGTGAAAAGAAGGAATTTACATCACTTTGCATTCTTGCTTCACTTACACAAGAACTTCAACCATTTAAGTGCTTACCGCTCTAATCGGTTTTGGCGAATACAGCCCTCAATGATTTCTTTTACCTCAGGGTCATTTACTTTGTCAAAACTGGCAGGCTTGATACCCTGCACAGAGAGAAAATTGTGTGTGTTAATCCCCCACATGATTCTCAAAACACCTGGATGCTAGTATGTGCATACAAAAATCGTGTGTTTAAATATTAAAAATAAAAACAATAGGGTGAATTCACTCAGAATTAACTTTGCCTGCTGAGAGTGATGTTTATTTGTGAATCTTTGCTAAACAATATGCCTGGCTCACTTCCCAATATTGTATTAGTATTGCAATAATTTAGTGAATTCACCCAATAATAGTCTACAAATCAAGAGTCATACAAAGACTTACACTGGTGACTTTGCGGTAGATCTGTGCAGCATTTTGGCATTCTGAATATGGGTACTCTGAGGTAGCCATTTCTAGCATGCACATGCCAAAGGCATAGACATCTACTGACTCGTCATAGTGCTCCTCGTACATCTCTGGGGCCATGAATTCCGGAGTACCTAAGAAACCAATACAACATTCATTTGACATCCTATCTCTTTTGGCATCTGTTTGTCATTTTTGCTATCTTTGTCTTCTGTTGCTATGATTAAAAACAACTACTTTTTTCCTTGACAACAGCCAATCAATGCACAAGTAGTCACGAAAACTTCTGAAGCCTATTAATGTGCATCCTCCATATTTTTTTTTAATCCATTTTTAAAAAAAAATCTCTAACAAGCCAAAAAGAGTGCAAATCATTTCCCTCAGATTCAACTGCAAAACAGAGGTATATAATCTTTAAAACAATCAAGAAGGCTTGATCTCACAATTACTGAAATTCAAATGAAGGATTTTAGCCGCTGCAAGCAGAAATCCTCATCTATGCAGCACCCTGGTGCTTTCACGGATCTTGCTAATCATGATACCCTTTGCAGCGACCTCTAACTTAGTAATAAGACTTCAATAATTGAATACTTTTTCCCAAATATGCTGCTGCTGGGAGTGTTCAGGTTGCTTCCTTTATTATGTTTGTACTAATGTGAATATCTGGTGTGCTAACTTTCTTCTCAGCAAATATTAAAAAAATCAATAGGTATTGATGTTTTTATGTGTGCACATATTGCGATCAATAATGTGGAACAGTGCTCTTTAGTTAGCTCCAATGTGGCAATACGAGTTAAGATAGCTGAAGAGCAAAGGAAGCAAGAATACCTTTTCTTGGATCCTTGACAGTAGGGCTTGGCGATAAAGATAATTATCACAATATAATTTTCCTCGATAAATGTATAACAAAAGTTTGTTAAGTGCTCGATATAATGTTTATGCAGGATGCAAATAATGCTGCGCATGCGTGTTATAAAACAACGCACTGGTGCCAATACCAATTTACCTAACTGATAAGCGCTCTCATTTCCGTTTCATCTGAGAAACATTAAACAGTAAACGTGCCAAAGTGGAAAGAAAACAGAGCTGCTCGTTTGAACCATGCCACACAGAACATTTATCAGCTTGGCTCAAAACACACTGCAGTGAGCTTAGAGCGAATGTATTTACTCAGGCTGACCGTCTCGATCACTTGCCCACTAAACAGCGCTGTGAGAACCAGTGAGAAGCGTTCGAGTTCGGGGCAGAGTTCTCCCATACAAACCACAAATCAAATGCCTCATGATTTAAACTAGTTTAAAGCCAGATGAAACAGCGCCGATATTTTCGCCAACGCTGACGTGGAAAACAGGAGAAACATTGAGCCACAACAAAACAGTTAGAAAGCTTTTCACAAGTCGGCAACATTTACCATTATTTACTGTAGTAACACTAACTGAAACCATGGTATTGTGGCATAAATGTAGTTTATTCATATAGATTTTTATAATAATTATTAATGTAGACACTGAATGTAGGCTATTAAAGGAGTAATGGAATATAATTACAGTATTTTTGTTATTAAGTTATAGTCTAGCAGTTTTTGTGCATTTGTATTATACTAAATGTCTTTAGGTTACTGTTTTTCATAACAAATACCATAGAAACAATATAGTTACTATTTACCATGGTAGTAAGGGTCCAATGCGTAATTTTTCCCTGTGGTTAACATGGTCTAAATTCTAGGGGTGTTGAAATTAATCGTTGCATCGCGATGTGGACGTGGACGAGTAATAGATTATAGTCTACTGCCGTTTTCTGATGTAATTCATCACATATCACTTCTGGCGCTAGCGTAAAATGGCGGAGGGAGGCGAAACACAAAAGTGAGTCAAGTGACTAATAAAAAATGCACCCAGCTATTTTAAAATTTACAGCATGAGCTCGAGTGCGAGTGCGTGCGCGTGAGGCTGCGAGCGTGGCTACATGCGTGTGTGCGCGAGGGTGTGAGCGAGCGAGTTGAGTGCCAGTGTGTGTGCGTCATTACAAGTACACTTGACATTTTCATGTGTTTTTAGTATTTACTAGTGTTTGTTCTAAATGGTCCTGTCGAATCGAATCGTTGACAATCGTAATCGAATTGAATCGTGAGACGAGTGACGATTCACACCACTACTAAATACTATGCAAAACATAATTTTACCCAATAAAAATGAGGTTGTTACAATTTTTACAGATGTTTTTTTTAATGAACATAAATTTACATCTGCATCCAAACTCAAGTTACTGTACAATCGCCCAGCCCTACTTGATAGTCATCGTAATTACAGCCACTAGTGTGGAAGACCTGCAACCATTTAGGAAAAGTGTCTCACCAAAAGGCTATAAAGGGGTCCGTCACATATCAACTTCTACTATACACAGGAAACTAAATAAAAGTAACAGACCTATGACACTCTTGGCAAAAGATGTCCGCATGAGGGTGGCAAGGCCCAGGTCACCAATTTTCACTGATCCGGTTGGACCTGTGATGAAGATATTGTCACACTTGAGGTCACGGTGCACAATGGGTGGCGTACGCGTGTGTAGGAACTGAAGACCCTTTAGGATTTGCCTGCACCAGCTGCGTAGAACCTTGGGCTTCATCACCTTAAAGCGCTTAAGGTACCTGAAGCACAGGAAAAACAGTCATGAGTTCATTAATACAGTAAGAAGTTTGCAACCTTACTGGATGTTGATAAATTGATAAATAGATAAATAGAATGAATCTTGTCAGCAACAGCCTAAATGGTTAAAAAAACAAAAACAAATGAGTAACATTTTGCACGTATACCAGAAAAAGCTGACAAGTCGGCCAGATTTACAAACAAATTGAATAGGATAAATGACGGAATATGGTGCAAAACATTGATTGTTCACAGCCAGGGCCGTAGCTGGGGTATCCAGGGCCCTGGTGCAGGTTGTTGGCCCCCTTGAAATTGGGTTTCTGATGGGGTGCTAGTGGGAGGGGTTGGGGGTTAGTTTCATCCCCATGAAATCGTGTTACAGTGGGGGAGGGGTGTTGTCCCCCTTGGTTGAAATAGTGTTCCGGGGGCTATTGTCCCAAATTATTCTATATCTATATCTTTATTTAAATTATTCTATATCATTGTTATATCGATACCATTTTTGATACCATGGGGAAAACTGCTAGCCTGATTTCGTCATACTCATATTCTAATCAGAATGTGAGTCTGATACTGCTCCATAGGGCTTTGATTATGAGGCGTGTCTTAACCGAACCAAAAAAAAAAAAAAAAAAACTCAATTGGATAGACCTACAACCAATCAGAGCAACGCAGTAAGTGTTTTTATTATGAGCTGCGCAAATTGTCAACAGAACTCAACTACACGCACGCTGGAAGAAGTAGTAAAATAATGAGTGTTGCTTCTTTTACTTGGTCCTCCATGAGTGCGACCAAAGGAGAAACCACAACGACCACAGGGTTTTCATTGCGTCCCATCTTCTTAGTTACCATCGGAGCCAGCTGATAAATTAAACTTTTGCCGAATCCCGTAGGAAGGACGGCAAACACATCTTTCCGATCGACAAATGCCTTGATTGCAGTTCTCTGTTCGTCTTTTAAAATGAATGTGCTGTCGATTTCTTTTACAACAGACGCGATAGCGGAATCTATAACGTTACATCTCAATTCTCCAGCTGCAGTCAACTTTGAGGGAAACCAGTTCAACCCAAGCGCTCTTTGATAACGTGATGATTACGTAACTGCAGATCATCTGTCCATCATCGTATAAAGCCCGCCCTAGCAATTTGATTGGCCCGACTAATTCTAAACCGATAATAATTACTCCTCAATGGATCGAGTCCAGACCGAACTTCCCGACCAAAAAATGTTGTGGGCGGGGTTCGGGCTGGCATCCAGGCTAGAAAACTGCCATATATACCACCATACAGATCATTTGAAATAGCTTACACACAGCACAGGGAGGCTTTATTTGAATAGTTGAACTATGTTTCCAAAAAAAAAAAAGACAAGCTGTCAGCTGGTATCTATGTATCAATACCGCAGAAAAGAAGTAGGCCTATTGGAACCGTTTCAGATATTTCAGTATCGATACTTATCGAAATATCTATATTTTTGACACTACTATCTATCTATCTATCTATCTATCTATCTATCTATCTATCTATCTATCTATCTATCTATCTATCTATCTATCTATCTATCTATCTATCCATCTATCCATCTATCCATCTATCTATCTATCTATCTACACACACAATTTACAATATAATATTATCGTATTTACATTAATATTAATATATTCAATTACAAAGAGATAAAAATACAAATGTAATGATACACACGTTTTGAGTGTTCCTGATGTCATGAGCTCAGTCACTAGGACGATACACTTCTTGCCTCTAAGAACAGACTCCCAGGAATCATAGAAACGCACAATGTTGGGGTGCTGTAGACCCTTCAGCATTTCAGCCTCCTCTTTAAACCGTTGCTGCTCCGCCTTGGTCAGCTTTCGATCCTGACACATAAACAAACAAAACATTAAATACAACATTAAATACAGTATTAAATGCAAGTAAAATTCAGTCTGTAATGATTTAAAATTCCATTAAACTGGTTTAACTCTTGCTGGTCTAAATCTTCACTTCACAATAAAAACTTAAAATCCCACTGACTGGGATAGAAAGAGGAAAAAAAGCAGATTAACTAAACCACAGACATGTCTCAACTTTCAAATTTATTTATTTATTTACCAGGACAGTGCATATTAACAACAGTACACCTGTAACATGCCAGAGTTAGCCAAGGGCTAGTTTTCATCTGTAGTCCTGTTGGCCGGTTGAACAATGGCACCCAAGGGAAAGCATAAAGCCTTTCAAACAATGGACAATTATAAAAGTACATCTGTCTGAACCAATTATGACTGTACTTTTAAGCAAAAAAGACATAAGAAATGGAACAGCTCTTGATTCAACATCCTCTTCATGAAAGATATAATTATATCCACACCCAAAATTGCTCTCGACTGTCCTATTAATCATGTTAATGACCAAGTCATAAATATTACTAACTATTCTGTGATTTCATATAAATGTGATTTAAGTTATCACAGCAAAGTACTCATAAATTATATTGTATTGCCTCATTAATTATGAATGTCAGCATACCATGTAGCACAGCACACATCCAGTCACTTGCTGCTGAGAGAAAATGAGTTCCCCTTTAAAAAATGTGCAGCGAGAGAGGAATGTTCAAAGCTTTGTATCCATTCAGTTTTACTGCAAGAATGTAACCCTCCCAAATATGCAACGTTATGTCGGTCATCAGCGAATCTGCCATCTTTGGTGGTTTTAATACAGCACTGTGACAGGTGGGGTGAAGGGAGAGATATTTAGAGGTGTATTCCGACGGCTGATGATCACAGCAAAACGCTTAGTTCACCATTGGCACATACACTCAGCACAGCTTCATAGACAGTACACTACCAATCAATGGTCACCAGGTGGCGCTGGCAAAAAGGAGATGTGTGACAGGGAGGCAACACCCTAGCCTGGTTCTACCAGACTCTCGTACATTTCATTTGTACAGAGAGTCTGGCCTCGCTCCATTGAGAAACGTTTACTTCCTTGTAGGCGGGTTCTCTGTTAAAGTTCAAAACTATTGGATCTGCCCAGCGTCACTCAGGATCTGCCATAGCCAATCGCTAACGTGTGGTCGTGACGGATGTCATGCGCCGAAACCGGCTGGAAACAACAAGTCCGAATTCCATATTCATAAATCTAAATATCTAAATGCTAAACCTCTCTTTCTTATATTTGTGAAAGAATTTTAAAAAATACCTCTTTTCAATTAAGTTGTCTGAGAACAAAAAAAGCCTTAAAAACATTATCTGTTTGTAATTATTTTCCTTTTTTCAGTGTCATGTAATTCTCTTAACTTGTTCATGTTTATTTTATATTATCCCCCTACTGTTTTATTTTTGTTTTGTTTTTATTATTATTTTTTGTTTGTTTTTGTATTATGTTTTCTGTTATTACTTGTGTATTGTTTTAAGCAATAAAAAAAAACAAGTCCGAATGATCAGAGGATTATGTTTAGAATAAGATGTCTGTCAACGAGAGCTGCATGTTTTGTTCATCGAATTTAAGAGTTCAAGGAACAATTCTAAATGTATATTTGACACTAAGGACAGTGATGTATTCAGTCAACTGTCGAAGCTGGGTGTAATCATTAACAATACGCCGCTGCGGTCGTTTCGGATCTGCCGCAAATGCTGTACAGTGATCATCGTGCACACCGAGCTGCCCAGCACCAACTCCTAACCTCTCTGCCTCCCTCACTTGGTCCTCCATTAGTGCAACAAGAGGAGACGACAACAACTATCGGCTTTGCATCCTATCGTTCGCCTTAGCTAACTCATCCACTAGCGGAGTGAGCTGGAAAATTAAACTTTTCCCGAACCCCGTGGGGAGGAGGGCCACAACATCATGGCCACCAACAACACTTAGCAAACATTGATCTTGCTCCGGCTTTAACTTCTGGATATTCGGCAGTTTTGCAACAACGGACCGAATAGATTTTCTCACGTCTTTCTCCGCTGCCGTTACTGAACTCCAACTCAAACTGACGCGCTACATCAACGTCATCGTTCTCAGCCACTCCCTCTGTTCGCTGATTGGACCGGTAAAAAAATTATTTCTGGAAACCAAAGTCTACAGCACAATCCCAGACGTAGTACTGAAGGAAAATAAAATTGAGCGGAAGTGCGTAGGAGGGCGGAGCCAGGCTAGCAACACCCAGCATTAGCCTAAAAATCAAATTTCAGCCACCATGGCCAGATTGCCCCAGTGTGGCGGATGTTGATTAAATCCCTTCGCTGGCACACAGTGGGGGAAAATGCCACACTGCCAACACCAAGCACACACTCACTCCACTGACGAACAGCACATACACGCTTATTCAGACATGCAACATTGCATGATTAACTATGCTCACTTTGAGCAACCCCACGATACTAATAAAACAATATAATGCATTAGTTTTTAAAGAAACAGTTTGCCTAAAAGTGAATATTCTGTCATCATTTACTCAGCCTTTAGTCAGTCTAAACCTGTATGGCTTCCTTTCCTCTGTGGAACACAAAAGAAGATATTTTGAAGAATGTTTCAAATGTCTGTCCATACAATGAAAGTCAATGGGGACTAAAACTACATTGGACCCCTATGACTTCATTGCATGGACAAAAAAAACCCAAACCAAACAAACCTTTTTTTTTATAAAACATCATCTTTTGTGTTTCTCAGAAAAATAAATTAAATCAAGTTTTGAAACAACATAAGGGTGAATAAATTGTGACAGAATTTTAATTTTTTTGGATGAACTATACCTTTAAGACAAGCTGTTCTTTGTCTCTTTTCTCCACTAAATCTGAACAGATGTTAAAACAAGCACCCAAAAAAGGCTTGTAATCTTTAATCTGCAAGATGATGAAACATCTCTCCGGTTTCTGAATCATAGACAAAAAAAAAATCGTCTGTCTAACTGTGATAATCTACATTTCGTTCTCATGGGTCATTTGGTACATGTAGATTAAAGGAAGTATTGAGATTCCTTGGCTTTGAGTGTTTGTCTGTGTGACCTACATGGATAAAATAAATCAAAGATGTCTGGGTCAAAGGCCACAACAATAGTTACGTAAGTAACAGTAAAATAAACAACCAAATAGAAGCAAAAAATTCCAGCTTTCACAGCTCAGCAAACTCACTGCATGAGATTTATGGACATAATCTTACTTTAATTTCTGTAAACAACTTTGCAATGGCCTGCTGTCTATGCATCAACAAAGAGGGCTAATTTCTGCAGTAGCACCTCATTGCAGTACACGAGATCCAGGGGGCGGAGTTGGATCCAGATCTAAGGGGTGGAGATGGGTAGGATTAGGGGTGGGGTTAGGGATCAGGGGGTGGAGATGGGTAGGTTTAGGCATATGTAAGGTGGGAGGAGTTGGATCTGGATCCAACTCCTCCCCCTGGATTTTATGTTCTGCAGTGAGGACCATCTCAATTTCTGGAGGTTTTTTTGTGGCATACAATCTGATTTGCCATGTAATGAGGTTTCTCTCTCGTTAAACTTTCATCTGTATATCATGTCATCCTCTCTCCTCTGCTCCCTCCTCCTCTCTTCAAGGTGCTATAAGCGATATTGGGTGACGTCACTTCTTGTTGACGTTCGGAAGTATTGTCAAACAAAACAGAGGCTAGCTAGACCCTCCCTCCTCCTCATCCCGTCCCCTCCCCCTGTAGTTTTACTGATACTTCATGCAAGGTGTAATGTCGCCAAGTTAGATAAATGCTTTCATTTAATGCAGAAAAAGAGAAACATTACCAGAAAAACGATAAAACGTTTCGCCACCAGAGGTTATAACTTTAGCTCCCATACAAGGACGCAATAATAGCAAGATAACGTTAGCTTCGCATTTCCCAGTGAGCATAAACAACGGCTCCGTCGTAAACAAATTTAGTCAAAGTTGTCAATAGGCTATGAATAAACATTCAAATTCATAACAAACAGTGGGTGAAAACAATCATTCACACAAACTGTCGCCCTACTGTGAGTTTGCTTGATCATTTACAATAGAGATCGATAGCTTGCTGCTAGAAACCTATATGTTGTATTCACCAAAGTTAGCGCTGACTGCATTGTTCTAGCTAATTATATCCTTGTGTTTGTTAGGCGAACATGAAAGTCCATTTAGAAAAACCAAACTGGATTTGTTTGGCGGAGATCTCGCCACCTTTCAAAGGTAGGGGTGGGAATCTTTGGTCACCTCACGATCCGATTCCAGAACCATTCTTTATCTACCCCCCCCCCCCCCCCCCCTCTTATTAATTCATTAGTTTACATAAGTAATTAAGTACTTTTAAAAAAATAATTACAAATTAATTTGTTTTTATTAAAACCGTTGTATGTTAAAGGAGAACTCCGGCGCAAAATGAACCTTTGGTCTAATTACACATTGTTACCTAGTCAACCGTTATCTGAGATTTGTTTTCATGATTATCGAATGTAAATAGTTTTATCTCTAAAAACAGTTTAGCCTATAAAGCTAGTATAACGCTAGTATATTGGGCATAGTGTAATGACAAATAAAAATCGCTTGTTAATACCACTAACAAGGCTGAAAATAGCCCCACACTAACACGGTAGCATAATGAGGGTCCCTACCTTCAAACCGAAGCATTGAGAACTTTGTAAGTGTAAAGACAGTTTAATAAGAAGATATTTTAAACATACAGTCAACTTCGCGTATACAGGCAGAAGCCATCTTTGAAATACAGCCTTTACCAGTCGATCTACGAACGCCGATCCAAGTGGGCTGGTGAGAATGCGAACGAGCTATAAGTTGTGATAAGGTGAGCGCGAACAGCAGGCTTGGATCGGCGTTCGTAGATCGACTGGTAAAGGCTGTATTTCAAAGATGGCTTCTGCCTGTATACGCAAAGTTGACTTCTGCCTGTA